ACTTTCCGTAGATCGACTACGTTTTTTACTAACGTAATTACGTTATGCGGAACCTCTCTATTGTATCTACTTGGTGTTAGACGTGATCAGCGAGAAGAAAAGAAAAAAACAGAAAAAGAGAGGAAGAAAGAGAAAGGAATCTTTGAGATGACACAGGCAACAAATCTGCTCACTTGTGAACACAAACAAAAGACTAGAACAAGAAAAAAGAGAAAAGAGAAGAAAAAAACTTAGCAGAGGATGGTTTCGATCCATCGACCTCTGGGTTATGGGCCCAGCACGCTTCCGCTGCGCCACTCTGCTTGACACATGAATGACCACGGCAAGTTGGAGCCATATTGGGGACATCTTATGTAATTTCAAAGGATCAGTCGGGGAAGTGAACTGCCTTAAGGGGGCTCAACCCCGAAGAGGGAGCAAAAAAAATTATGGTAAATCGATCTGAACTGTGTGTTTTCAGATGGCCAGACACCTAGAGAACTGGTCTGGGCTATTTCAAGGATAGGTTTATTATGTGGTTCCCCAGCTATGGGGGTGTTATTGTACCTATGTTTTTCGGCAAAAATTCAATGATTTCTCACTAAAGGCGTAAAATTCCAGTTGGTAATACTTCAAAAATCCTGAAAGTGGGTATGGAGGGGCCTACAATACTGTCTTCTTTGGAAAATGTCCACAACATATGCCCAGACCACTGTGAGAGGCCAAGGTAGCCCAGAATGTGATTTGGCAAAACGCGTATTTCAGCAGACCGGACTTTAGACTTGTTTGAATAGTGGAGAATCGAGACAATAACATGGTCAATTTTATGGTCATTATCTGCTCTTCAAGGCCATAGGAAGGCTCTACAAAAATAGATTTTTATGTCTACCATCTCGTTTCTCCGTGAGAAACAAAATTTGTGACGGATTTTGCATATTCAGCTTGAAAGTCAGATTCAGCATTGTTGCCAAAATGAGTGTATCGACTTCATTCAAGCTTCACTTTGACTATGTAGGGCGAGAAGCATTTGCTATAGACCAATCCCAGACAATACCACATGCAACAGTCACAACTGAATTGTGTTATTCACATCTTTGTTGTATATTGTGATGTACATACATAATATAATGTACATACATACATACATGCATGGGTATATCAAATGTACAAAACAACGGATTATAAGTATAACGCTGTCAATGAGCAACTTGAGTTGCTTGGTTACTGCTGGATGCGATGGCTAGCAGCCACTGTTGGTATTGTGGGTTCGCGCCTCCAGTGTGCAGCACAACGTGAATGTTTGAGCAGATAACTGCAGCATCATCACGAGTGGTAGAAAGTGGGGACGATGCTGCACCTCCTGCAGCTGCTGGAGGACTTGTGCGGTCTGGAGCAGTGTGTAAAATAGGGGTGTTGGTGTTGGGTCTTCCAGATGCTAGATGATGTGTTATGCGTTTTGCAATAGCAGAACTCATTGTGACTAGCACACGCCCATCGCCACCCGGTTCGTGCAATAATCCAAGGATGCCAGTTCCCTGATTCCTCTCAAATGCCAACACCAGATGATTGTACCTGTAGGCATGATATATAACGTTGTTGTTGTTGAAGAATATATTTAGACTTCTACAAACACCCATGTTGCAGCGAAACGCCCACTCCAGCTTGTTTGCTGAGACTGTGACAGAAGCCTGACTAGTGCTGCAATGTGTACTGCTGTGATTCATGATTTCAGTTGACATTCCTTGCCTTGCCTTGCCTGGGTAATATTGCAGTTCTTCACAACATGCATAACACAATTTTATGCTGCATTTACAGTCTAGTTCAAGGCCGAGCTCATGAAAATGTGGCAACTTGACCATGCATAATATTACGTGTCTGTGACTGTCTCTGCTCAAGTTGTTCTACAAGGCATATTGCCAATATTTCAATATTCAGTTTTATAATATATACAGATTCCTGTCATAGTTCAATGATACAAGCACAGCCATACTACCTTTAACCCACAGCCTTCTCCTGAGAAACACAGGCACAGGTCAGAACTCACCCAGTGCAGCCTTAGAGTTCATAGGATCAATGCTTTCCACTCCATCCAGCATGAGACTCACATGTCTGACCAAATTCTCCTGCCCACACATAGAACACTTCACTGGCATGTCGCTGTGCTGTTCCTACTGGCTGTTCCAGACCACACTCATTACTCACAGAGATCAAGTCTCTACTTGCAGACACTACACTCTGACTCCACTATCTCCAGGTACTGCAGGTACAAGACCAGTTTTTCTCTCACAGTCGTCAGTAATATTTTTATCTGGCGACTGGAAAAGAAAAAATAGATATCGTTCCAAGTGCCACTCAAGTGGATGCACTTGAACTTGAGAGAAGCATGTCACTTACCTGCGTTCTGAGACTGATACATGTATCATTGGTAGCTGGGCTCTGGACAATCTTGCAGGTTTACTTGTCTTCACTGGCAGGCGAGACTGAGAAAAGGGCATATCTGAGCTGGAAGTTAGAACTACACGACCTGAAGAAGATTGAACACGCTTTGGTCCTGAGCGCCCACGAAAACGGCCGTGCCTATTGATAACTACAAGTACTTGACACGAAGCTCCATAGCTCCATCGATCGCCGACATCCAGCAAACCAAAATGGAAAACACAAAACGTTCAAACTGTTCAAGGACTGCAGTTTCTTTGAATTCTCGCAAAATAAACTTTTGAACACGACTATTTCTCGCAAAAAAACTTTCTCCAGCCGCGGACAAAATGTTTTCAAACGCGAAATTTTGCATAAAATCATGCCCAGATTTCGATGCGCGCGCAGAAGTACTGAGCCCCCTTAAAAAATGCAAGACCCAGCAGGACTCGAACCTGGGACCTTGCTTGTCATGAGAAATGCTCATTTGTTTTCTCTTTTCTGGCAGTTCACTTCCCCGACTGATCCTTTGAAATTTGAAGTTCTCCCAATCGTATGTAATGTTTGTGTTGTTTATTTGATGTTTCGGCAACTGCAGCCACGTTATGTCACCGATGCGTCACATCAGCCCCAGTGCCCGCAGGTCTTGGGCTGCATAGATTCACGAAATCAGATTTCACGGTCGGATACTGGAGTGGTTGAAACAGAAACAATCTTCTAAAAATGGAAAGAAAGAAAACAGAGAATGACTTACGATTCATCTTCCTGGTGTTAGATGTAATCAATGGGAACGGGGAAAACAAACAGAAAAAGAGAGGAAAACGTGAAAAGGATCCTGTTGACGACATAAGAGAGAGGTTCCGCAATATGTGAAGTTGAGCAACTTTAAAAGTAAGTGAGTGGAAAAAACCTGTGAATTCGCGAGTTTGCACCCCACTTACGAAAAGTTGTCTACGGAGAGTACGTAGATAGCGCTCTGATAGCGTAGGTGCTCCGTAAGTGGATTGAGGTACAAATTTATGACTCTCTGCCCAGGTCGACCAGGTGGTACACTGTCGCGTTCCGAGTTGCCAAGGGCAGCTACATGATTTGAAACTTCGTATGGCGGAACACAGATCCGCATGCAGTGTACGCAAGACGTTATGTAGATCGACTACCTTTTTTACTAACGTAATTACGTTATGCGGCACCTCTCTCTATTGACAGCAAATATGCTCACTTGGAACACAGGCATAGGGCTACATAGAAGAAAAAGAAGAAAAAAGACTAAAAGACAAAAAAAAAGTTAGCAGAGGATGGTTTCGATCCATCGACCTCTGGGTTATGGGCCCAGCACGCTTCCGCTGCGCCACTCTGCTTGACACATGAATGACCACGCGAAGTTGGAACCATATTGGGGACATCTTATGTAATTTCAAAGGGTAGAAGAAAAAGAAGAAAAGACTAAAAGACAAGAAAAAATAGCAGAGGATGGTTTCGATCCATCGACCTCTGGGTTATGGGCCCAGCACGCTTCCGCTGCGCCACTCTGCTTGACACATGAATAATGACGAAAAGTAGGGACCATATGGGGGACATCTCATAGCAGAACGGAGGTGCAAAAGCAAAGGCAGCCAGATTTGCAGCTGCATGACCGCACGTGTTGAGAAACACATAAAAAAAGAAGAAATTCGCATCAGCGAGCCACCACGTCGCCCAGTGTATCCTAGTGTCGAATGCAGACCTCACAAGTGAGTCAGAGGAGAGGAATCCGTCTCTCAAAGAAAGGGGCATGCGGCAAAATAATTAAAAAATGAAGAAGAAAAAGGGCTCAGCTCTCAAGAAGTGTTCTCGCAAGCAGCCGTGAAGAATACTGCCACACCGAGAACGTACACGTATGGTGTACATTGTACGGGTGAGAACGCAACGGAATAGTGCTGTGCATCGGGAGTTACCATGGAACTGAGCGTGTTGGGAAAACATACGTACATGTACATGTGTACACAGGTACTTTCTGCGTAGTGACCGTACCGTGTCCGACACCCCTGGATCAGCTCAGCCAGTCACTGTGAGCTCCACTGATGAGACCTAACAAGGCCAAAACAGCCAGCTGTCCGGATATCGAGTACTACAGGACTATTCACGAATGCCCATGCCCAAAAAACATTCGCCCATTCACATGTTTTTTTTTTAATGTTCTTACACAATAAACACGATACTATAGGTTGTGCTCCATGAAATCCGACCCCAAGTGCATACAGTCAACTTCGCTAATAGCGACTGCGGATATACGGACAATTCGCCAATAACGACAGAATTTCCATGCCCAGAGCAAAGTCCCATCTAACTGTAATACATATAATGAGACTTCGTGTATAAGGACACTTCGCGAATAAGGACACAGTTTTGATGTCCCCCCCCCCCCCCCCGAGTGTCGTTATACGCGAAGTTGACTGTAGTTGATGCCCTCACTTGCACGGTCCTGGACACCCTGGAAGTGGCGCAATACAATCATGTACAGTGATGTAATCGAATCTGGTCCAGAGCGCCAGTTGTGCACATTGGGCCAGGTCTCAGTGAGGCGCCAACTGTAGTTTGAGACGTTCAGTAACTATTACATCACTCACCTTCTTCAGGACACGTGTACACCTCTGCAAAGGCACCCAGCTCGTCACCCCACCGCGTCTGCAGATCAAGGTACTCGTCCAAAAAACGCGATAGCCGAAAGTCATCGTGAAAGAGAGTGTCACTGGAAACGAGCACAAAGCAAAAACAATTCCTAAGACACACTATGGTGGGTTTCAAAAACATAGACGAGTGATTTCAAAAACCGTTAGGCCAGCATCTATACCACATAAAATCTGTGATCACTTTGTGCATAAACATTTCGAAATTGGGCATTTGCTATCCGAGCACTTAAAAATCTATATGAGAGTAATCGCAGGAAGGACCTGAGCAATATTCCGAAAATAATTCTCAAAAGCTCCAGCCAAATTTGAAATAATTTCAAAAATGCCATGCGTCTATATTTTTGAAACGGACTGTAGAACCTGTTCATCACAACGAAGGCCTAACGTCAGAGCTCGCATGGCAAAACTACATGCAATGTAACAACTGGTCAGTGAGTACAATCATGCTGCAGACATGCGTCGTCCGGAGCACCCTTTGTTGTTTTTCAAGTGAGGCAGCGTGATTCATCGGTTGTCTGATTGATCAATGCCATATGCATAAAACTCTGCGTTGCTACAAATCCCGAGTGGTTTTTCACTTCGGCTTCCATACGTGCGACAGTTCTATGCCGAGCGCAATAAGCATCATTGCAGTAGCCGTTGTTGCTACGTTCTAGCATTGCAGTGAATGTATATCTCTATTGCTGGTGATAGCATTGGTGTAGATTAGGAACCGTACCCGCCGATAACGAGCAGGTCGCCAGTGAGACCGCGCTTCTGAATAACTAGTTCTATGTCAGCGATAGCACCGAGACGACCTGTGCATGTGGGCAGAGTGCGTGTGAGTGAGTGAGTGTGTGTGTGCGTGCGAAGAGAGAGAGAGAGAGAGAGAGAGAGAGAGAGAGAGAGAGAGAGAGAGAGAGAGAGAGAGAGAGAGAGAGAGAGAGAGAGAGAGAGAGAGAGAGAGAGAGAGAGAGAGAGAGAGAGAGAGAGAGAGATGATGATGATGACAATGACAACACACACACACACCACACAGCACAACCAAACAGCAAAGACTACTCGTGAGTAAGAAGTTGAAAGAGAAATGGAGTATGCTAGATGATGGCGGAACGACGTGCAGACGTCATCACATTTCCAACAGGGATAGTTCCCATTGCCGCACTTTGAAATACACAGCCGAGACTAAACACCAACAAACCTTAGTGTATCATATTTTCCGGAGTGTAGGCCACACCTCAAGCACCAGTAATTCACCCAAAAAGGTCGGTGAGGCATACCCTACGATGGTCAAATGAACGTGGATATACAAGGTAGATGTCTGTATTCCGTGACAAAAAATCTGCAGGCGGCTTATACTCCAGTGTTGGTTATATTCCGGAAAATACGACAACTGTTGTACACCGAAAGCAAATAAAAAAAGACAACCAATGTGCCTACCTCATTGGTCGTCGTACCATCATCAATAATGTCAACAGTGCTGGCATCAGCAGTCGAGGCCGCCCACGCACGATATCTGTCAGCATGAGCACTGTTTGTCTGGAAATTGGGAGAGATAAAAAGAGAGAGAGAGAGAGAGAGAGAGAGAGAGAGAGAGAGAGAGAGAGAGAGAGAGAGAGAGAGAGAGAGAGAGAGAGAGAGAGAGAGAGAGAGAGAGAGAGAGAGAGAGAGAGAGAGAGACTGATCACTTCAGATTCTAGTCTTTTTCCAGATCCCAAAAGCTTTCACCATTGTCATTCTAGAGCTCATCCACTCCTATCACTGATTTTCACGTCCAATAACACAGAGACTGCAGCACTCAAGATGAGCAGAGTGAAAACGGTCTAGAACTAGATACGATCTATTACCGTGATAATATGGTCCACAATGTGGAAACTGTGCAGCCACGATCACCGAGAGAACTTGGCACACGTTCTAGTTTAGTGCTACCACCACCATGCCCCCCCCCCCCCCCTCAGTCACCACCATGCCTTCCTCCCCCCCCCCCCCCCCCCCAGTCACTATAATGCTCCCCCCCCCCCAAGTCCTAAATAAACTAGCGCCCTGCATGTCGGCAACCCCGGACGGCCCCTTAGATGTAAACTGTGCATGTGAGGACGCACTAATCACTAATCACAGTATGAATATCACCGACCAGTTTTGTATGATGTACCATAACGCACGGCACCTCTCTCCACACTGACCACAGTCACAATACGGTAGTGTGTTGGGTCATCAGCATACACCCACTACAGACTACTCACCACGATTGACGTTCCCGTCACTTGATGCTGGCACTCCTTCAACTGATCCAGCCAGTATGATACCAGCGGACGTCCACCTAGGTATGCAGACACACCAACAAACAAACACACACACACACACAAATACGCACACCACACACACGTGCACACACACACACCACACAAATACGCACACACACACACACACACACACACACACACACACACACACACACACACACACACACACGCACGCACACACACACACCACACACACAAACACACACACACACACACACACACACACCACAGATTACACACAACAGCTGTAGCAAGTGTGTGCATGGATTTATAAGAGGCACGCATCCACAGAACAAGGGCGATCAAGACTAGTCAGTCACTACGGTACTGTTGGTTGCCGTAGAACGGGGGGGGGGGGGGGGGGGGGGAGGGGGGGGGGGCAGCCTCCTAGCCTAGACCGTTCTTATTTTCATATATTACAGTCTATGCGCAGTTGAGTCACAGGGTATGCATTGGTATGCTGTGCTTGATGAAATTCTAGCCTGGTCGCTTTTCGGCCCTCCGTTCTTCGGCGCCTGACAGTACTGCACTCTGAGTTTCATGCTTTCGCAATCATCAGGCAACAGCACACTGTTACCTGATGATTGCGAAAGCATGAAACTCAGAGTAGCGACAAACAAGCCTTGATTGCCCTTGTTGTTCTGTGTATCACGTTCTGCCTCCGCCATGGTGTTGAGCACTGTCAGCACACTGGGTACACCCTCCGGTAAGTTGCACCCAAACGCAACTCTCTTCACATGCTTACAAGAGAATCAACCTCCACCACCCCAGTTAGCTGAACACATGCATCATGGAACCCTAGCATCTACGACACGGGCGGGTGGGACGTTAAACAATTCGTATTTCGCTCCCACCCGCCCTCACCGACCCCCACCCGCCGGTCCGTGCAATTATCCCTTGGGGCAGGGGTGATTTCTCCAGGCTGGCGTATGCCGCTGTTAGTCCCACTTGCATCAGGACCAGTAGGTGGTGGAATCAGTCATGGTCATGTGTTGCGTAGACCAAGGTTTATCTGGGTCACATGGGAGATCTAAATGCGGGCTCGAAACTCCCATCATTTAGGGTACTATCGGCTTTTGTCGTCTCCTTAGGGCATGTTGGATTGGTAAGGATCGGGATCAGGATCCAGATCTCAGATCCATCGGATCCTTCAGATTCAACTGAACACTTTATTTTGGACCTTGACTGTTGCCATGTTGACAATGGCGCTCACAAATCACCCAAAAGGATGAACGTTGTACTCATTGCCTCCGTCGTCAAAAAGTCAACAGGCTCTATCTCCATCCACGTGTGCGTATCACAATGTGTACAAAAATGGTTTTTACCTGCCATATACGCACAAAGGTCACATTTGGATCCGATGGATCCGGGCAACCCTGCTCCCCGAGGTGGGTTGATCGGACCCAAATCCGAAGGATCCGGATCCAGATTCGACAAACGAAAGGGTGCGAATCCAGTGGATCCGGTAGATCGGGATCCCGATCCTACCAAACGAACATGTCCTAAGACTCCCTGGTCGGCACGACACAAAATAAATTATAGATAAGTTTTGCCGTTCCCGAGAGGAAGTCAGTCCGACTGATTTTCCCCGCATTCGTTTCGCAAGACCGTCGCAGACGCAGCTCCTACAATCGGATGGTAGATCAGGCTCACTACCAACTTGTCAAAGACCAAAAATCCTGTTGCTTCCAAGATACGTAACCCTAACATCAAATTATGTGACGTATTTCTACAATTTTCAACTGAAAATAATAATTTCACTTCCAGAGACAATCTAAGATTCCAGGTAGCCTATCATGTCCATGATGTACTCTTTACAAAATTAATGGATCGCAGAAGCGCTCCCTCACCTATGGGGAGCAGCGGTTTGGGGCATCCAATTAGACCAGAATATTTGCCACTTTCATCTTGCTCGATGTCCCTTTGCAGACGAGTCCCATAGCCAGCTCCCAGCACTAAAACTTCCATGATGTTGGCTCTATAATATATAGAATTCGAAGCCAACAAACTTATTGTGTGGTATGAACTTGCTAAAGTCAAAGAGGAGGTTGCAGCAAAGCTGGGGCGAAGGGAAGCCTTGGCATGAAGTACCTGATTTGTTTTCCTGGCAAAGATAGCCCGGATTTCATTCAAAAGTCTGCATGATCGGAGTCGTTTGATTATGACTCCTTCCTTTTGCAGACTGCATGCGCGCATGCCGTGGCCCGTGCTAGCATGCTATCTACGTGTGACATCACATTTCCGTTTGCAGCAAGACCAGATGACTCCGCTGTACTCCACTGGCACTGACTCAAAGGCAGACAAAGATCATGAAGATGTCAAACAGAAACGCGATCGAATGCTGATGAAGACGCTGTACGAGATTTGAGAAAGTTTTTTTTTATGATCTGTGCATTCATCGCGATGTCGATGTGGCGATACGATGGCATCTGAAACGACAGAGCAGCCTAGCTCGCCTCGACCGAGCTTGTCTCTCTCAAATCTATCGGAAGATTCAGAGGACGTAGTCTTGGTGCGCGTCGACGGAGGAGCTGTTCTGATGGCGACTCCGGTATCAGATGGAGAAAGCTTGCATGTGGGCACCAATTTGGACACATTTCCTGAGGAATCGTCTGGTTCCCACTCTCCTTCGGAGTCGCCCAAAACCGAGGGAGAGGCCACTGCTGCCGAAGCCACCATGCCAGCTGAATGGGATGGAGAAGCGACGGGGCGCATGACCGACGAACTCGAGGCCGAGTTCGAGGCTTTCCTGAAAGCTCAGTCAGATGGTGGTGCTACGGAGAGCGCGACTGTGAGTCCAAGTTCATTCATATTGTTTGACTACGCACCATACGGTTTACCATCCTTTCTTGGTAACTAACTAACTTGCACCGGCTTCACCCCCCTACGTTGGCTTGTGCTTGATGGTGAATCATGAAACACTTTGTGTATCGGATCCATTCCCAACACAAACACCGCACAGGAAATGGGTGAATTCAACGGAGCTCGGAAAATAATAATAATTCACTGATTGAGATATCAGTGCATAAACCTTTTCAAGTTTCAAGTTCGCAGTATGCAATGTATATGAAGCGAATAGCAGTAGCGCCGTTTTGTGTTTGATTATAATTTATTATCACTAATAATTGGTGGGATTAGAAGCGGTGAGGCCTCCTGCAGTTTCATACAGAATTACAGATGGAGCGGACTCGCCCCCTTCTATTTACACTGCAACGTTCGAACACATTTTCGTAGTTAAAACAACGTTTCGGCATATAGCCCTCATCAGGTTTGCAATGATGTGCACTCTACAAAGGAGCAGCAAATATACTGTGCTGTGCTGTGTTTGCGCCAAATGTGTCAGCTACAAAGGTGGCGAAAGGGATTGGTGATATATTAATATCCAGATACGATATATTCACAGTAGTGCCCAGCCAGCATTAGTGTTTACTTGCGGCCGCAAGTTGCGGATTTCAACAGCTTCTCGCAGTTTTCTGCTTGCTCTGTCGCCTGCCCTTGCCAGGACTGACACAGCCGAGAACACACTATCCGCAGCAGCTATACTCTCGCCAGAATGTTTGTCGCGCACGTGGTCACCCCATGGCTTATCGAGAGTGCGACGGCGTGCCTCGCCATTGTGCTCCCGAATTCTTGTTTCCAAGGAGCGTTCCGTCTCCCCTACATACGTTTCCCGGCACCATTTGCATTGCAATTCGTAGACTACATTCTTTTTCATACATACTCGTTCGCCTCCAGACTGACAGGTAATGCAAGGCCCTAGTGGACGTCCTCTCCGTCTTTTTTCAGTAATGTTGGGCTCGTTTACGCACTTGGGTGGTAACAGCGCCGAACGGCACAGTTGACGCCTGAGGCTGCCCGAGTGCTCGTATACGACACGTACCGGCAACTTGTATTTCCGTATTGCTTTGTTCACATGGTGGTGTACTTCATCGGACTTGAACGGTAGTTTAAGGAAGGCAGAGCGGGGATTACCGCGTCGTCTACGCCGAGGTTTCCTGGCAGCTTCCCTTGCTTCCGATATGATACTGTCTGGGTAGTTATTTATGCGCAGTTGTTTGTGTATTTTTTGTTCGCTCTCGGCTTGCATCATGGGGTTAGACGATAGTCGCTGTGCCCTTAGAAATTGAGATTGAGCAACGGCTAACTTGATGTGGTGAGGAACTGCCGATGAATAATCCACCAGTAGGCCACTACTGCATGCCTTCTGGAACAATTTGAATGACAGCTCTCCGGTTTGCCCAACCGCGATCGTTACGTCCATGTAGTCTATGCAGCCACTGTCACAACTTAATTCATGCGTGAATTTGATACGTTCGTGGCTGGCGTTGAATCTTTCTATGAGCTCCAGAAGGCGCTGCCTACCATGTGTCCACAGGATGATGATATCGTCGATGTATCGTCTGAACAGAATAGGTTGGAAGGGTGAGTCCTGAAGAAGTCGTGTCTCAATGGTGTGCATAAACAGGATGGCAAATGGAGGTGCCAGGTTGTTCCCCATAGCAACCCCATCTAGCTGGTGGTAGATCTGTCTGCCAAATCTGAAGAAGTTATGACCCAGAACAAACTTCAGTAGTGTCCTGACTTGGGTCACGCTCAGCCCGAGCATATCAACTCTGTTATAGTGTTGCTCTAGCACGTCACTAACGGCATTCACGCCCTCTTCGATCGGTATGCTGGGATACAAACCCACCACATCCATCGTAGCCAGAATCGTTCCAGCAGGTGCTTTAAGGCCAGGGTATATGGTGCGGATATTGTCTAGCGCGTCTTTGGTGTTGATGAGGTGCGATGGGACAAATGCAAGCAGTTGATGCAATATGCGTTCGAGAACCACCGAAATTCCTGTGACTGGACTGTCACAAGCAGAGACAACAGGTCGGAGGGGCAAATTTTGCTTGTGGTCCTTTGGAAGACCGTATAGTTCCGGGAATCGTGTGTCATGAGGGAGTATTGCAGTCAGAAGATCAGGATCCATATTCGTGCATTGCTCTTCCAGTATGGATTTAACCTCTTTCTCATACGCAGTGATAGTTAGATCCACTTTTCTGTACATAGTGCTGTCAGACAGAAGTGCCTCTGCCTTCTCCAGGTAGAGTTCCTGTTTCATAGCTACTAGCTTCTTGCTCTTGTCGGATTGCTTTATCACTACACTGGGGTCATGACGAAGTTCTCTCAGTCCGTCGCGTTCCTCTTGCGTCATATTATGCTTGGGAGGTCTTTGTTTGCCATATGCTGCCAAAACTTCGTCCTTGAAGTTGGCCATCTTTCTTTCCCCATCCTGGCTCATTCTGGGCGGTTGCTTGAAGCCATGCTTCTTTAGCTTCCACAGCCTGCGATCACACTCGGTACCGGTATCGTGGTCGTCCTCTGGCTGGTCCACACCCTGAGGCCGCGCCTGCTGCCATCTCAAAGTGTAGGCCATCCGTTCTACGGAGGTGACCACTTCTGATTTCTCACGACTGGTTAACTTGCCCGTGGACGGTACAAAACCGGGTCCCAGTTCCAATACCCGTCTGGCATTGTCTGTTACACACGAGTCCATGACAAGCGTTCGCCGAGAATGCTCCATTTCCGTCCGGCCGGGACTACCCAGGGCTGTCCCACTCTGGTAGGACGACGCGGGCAAACATGCCTCATGCGCTTCCCTGGCATCTTCTTGGGCTTGAAGCCTAGACAGCTTCCATCGAAGCCTTGCATTGGTACGGACCAGAGGACGACCACGATACCGGTACCGAGTGTGATCGCAGGCTGTGGAAGCTAAAGAAGCATGGCTTCAAGCAACCGCCCAGAATGAGCCAGGATGGGGAAAGAAAGATGGCCAACTTCAAGGACGAAGTTTTGGCAGCATATGGCAAACAAAGACCTCCCAAGCATAATATGACGCAAGAGGAACGCGACGGACTGAGAGAACTTCGTCATGACCCCAGTGTAGTGATAAAGCAATCCGACAAGAGCAAGAAGCTAGTAGCTATGAAACAGGAACTCTACCTGGAGAAGGCAGAGGCACTTCTGTCTGACAGCACTATGTACAGAAAAGTGGATCTAACTATCACTGCGTATGAGAAAGAGGTTAAATCCATACTGGAAGAGCAATGCACGAATATGGATCCTGATCTTCTGACTGCAATACTCCCTCATGACACACGATTCCCGGAACTATACGGTCTTCCAAAGGACCACAAGCAAAATTTGCCCCTCCGACCTGTTGTCTCTGCTTGTGACAGTCCAGTCACAGGAATTTCGGTGGTTCTCGAACGCATATTGCATCAACTGCTTGCATTTGTCCCATCGCACCTCATCAACACCAAAGACGCGCTAGACAATATCCGCACCATATACCCTGGCCTTAAAGCACCTGCTGGAACGATTCTGGCTACGATGGATGTGGTGGGTTTGTATCCCAGCATACCGATCGAAGAGGGCGTGAATGCCGTTAGTGACGTGCTAGAGCAACACTATAACAGAGTTGATATGCTCGGGCTGAGCGTGACCCAAGTCAGGACACTACTGAAGTTTGTTCTGGGTCATAACTTCTTCAGATTTGGCAGACAGATCTACCACCAGCTAGATGGGGTTGCTATGGGGAACAACCTGGCACCTCCATTTGCCATCCTGTTTATGCACACCATTGAGACACGACTTCTTCAGGACTCACCCTTCCAACCTATTCTGTTCAGACGATACATCGACGATATCATCATCCTGTGGACACATGGTAGGCAGCGCCTTCTGGAGCTCATAGAAAGATTCAACGCCAGCCACGAACGTATCAAATTCACGCATGAATTAAGTTGTGACAGTGGCTGCATAGACTACATGGACGTAACGATCGCGGTTGGGCAAACCGGAGAGCTGTCATTCAAATTGTTCCAGAAGGCATGCAGTAGTGGCCTACTGGTGGATTATTCATCGGCAGTTCCTCACCACATCAAGTTAGCCGTTGCTCAATCTCAATTTCTAAGGGCACAGCGACTATCGTCTAACCCCATGATGCAAGCCGAGAGCGAACAAAAAATACACAAACAACTGCGCATAAATAACTACCCAGACAGTATCATATCGGAAGCAAGGGAAGCTGCCAGGAAACCTCGGCGTAGACGACGCGGTAATCCCCGCTCTGCCTTCCTTAAACTACCGTTCAAGTCCGATGAAGTACACCACCATGTGAACAAAGCAATACGGAAATACAAGTTGCCGGTACGTGTCGTATACGAGCACTCGGGCAGCCTCAGGCGTCAACTGTGCCGTTCGGCGCTGTTACCACCCAAGTGCGTAAACGAGCCCAACATTACTGAAAAAAGACGGAGAGGACGTCCACTAGGGCCTTGCATTACCTGTCAGTCTGGAGGCGAACGAGTATGTATGAAAAAGAATGTAGTCTACGAATTGCAATGCAAATGGTGCCGGGAAACGTATGTAGGGGAGACGGAACGCTCCTTGGAAACAAGAATTCGGGAGCACAATGGCGAGGCACGCCGTCGCACTCTCGATAAGCCATGGGGTGACCACGTGCGCGACAAACATTCTGGCGAGAGTATAGCTGCTGCGGATAGTGTGTTCTCGGCTGTGTCAGTCCTGGCAAGGGCAGGCGACAGAGCAAGCAGAAAACTGCGAGAAGCTGTTGAAATCCGCAACTTGCGGCCGCAAGTAAACACTAATGCTGGCTGGGCACTACTGTGAATATATCGTATCTGGATATTAATATATCACCAATCCCTTTCGCCACCTTTGTAGCTGACACATTTGGCGCAAACACAGCACAGCACAGTATATTTGCTGCTCCTTTGTAGA